ATGTAGAATTATTGTAGAGACACTGACACTGCCCTCGATGTAATAAAGGCCTGAGTGTGTCAGGAATTTAGGAGTAGATTTCTAGGAGGCCCTCCCCCAGTTTGAACTGTGAAAGTGAGACAAAGAGAGGTTAATGTTGAGTGGAAATTCCTCAGGGCATGCCTGGGTGGGAGTCTCAAAGTTTGTAACTAAATAACTTTGGTTTGGAAGGGAGATGGACTTTTATGACCCTCAGGAAGGCACGTACATAGAGATATACGCACATAGTGCTTTAACTGTTACGCACACACATCCACACACATCCAAACGTGAGTCTGATACTATATGATTTTTGAAGTCTTGATGAATAGAAAAGAGAAATCAAGCATAGAAGATTTAATAGAAGGTCAAAATGATGGTCAGACTTCAGATTGGGCTGGAATTCAATGAGAAGAGACCACTAAGTGCACTAACTCAGAAAAGTCCTCAGTTACTTAAGTTATGATACCAAAGTAGTAAATATTTAAATACTAAAGCAGTACCTCTTCGGTGTCATTTACCAAAAAAATAAATCACCTATAAAATATAATATCAATAGAATAAATAAATAAATTAGAGCTGTGCACACTTTACATTTAAGGGAACTTGAAGATGGAGTCTCTTTCCTTATCAGGGATTCTGCAGATGTGTTCTGGAGAAGGAGGCGTTTAAAGTTGTTTTTCATGGATGTAATCCTGTATTCTCACAATGGGTAACTGGGCGGGGTTGATAACAGTGAGAGCTAAAGAATGTGACTCTTCAGGTTTTCAGGTTTCACTAGAAGCCAAACATCATTGCTCATCTCTGATGAAGTAATTTCCTTCTCAGTTAGCTGAGTTAACTTCTTATGTCTGCCTTTAGACAGTCATAAGAGAAGCACTGAAGATTTGAGCCAATGGAGTCCTCCCCCTCAAAAAGTTAACCAGTCTCTTCTGTATTTCCTGCACCAGTGGATGTGGAGGCTCAACAACCAGAAAATGATGCCAGAGCATCGAGGTAACCAGATTATTCTCAACCAGGAATCTCCTCCTATAGCAGATGGTATTCTCTGCTGGAATACCATGGCCTGGCCCAACAGCAAATGTGGACCAGTGTTTTATTTCACTCAGTTCGTCTGTCAAATCGGTCACATTGCTCCAGATTTCTCCAAGATCGTACCTTGTGATGTAGCAGAGACGGGTCCTGTTGTCATAGCATTTTCTTTGGTACATTTCAGTGATATTGTGTTCAACACAGATGAAACACAGGAAAAGTTTCTTGTTAGCCTTGTCATACACTGGGCAGGGGTTCATTGGACGGTGTCCTTTAATAAGTGCCTTTTCCACCAGTTTGAGCTCTGACCACTAAAAAAGATAAGTAAATAAGTTCATAAGTAAAAATAATTAAATGTTCATAAGTAAATAAAACAGAACAGTTCAAAACAGGACTGTAATTAACAAGTAATTTAGAACTGAAATGGGTGATTATCACTATTACCTCAACCATCATCTTCGATGATTCCTCCTTTATCTTTCCTGTTCTCATAACCAGCTTTTTTCCGCTGACATCATCTGGAGTCCTCCTCTGCTCTGAGAGATTACATATGGATCAGAGACCTTTCATATGAAAACACTAAACACAGCACAAGCTTCAGAAAGACACTCACTGAAACAATCAATCTACTGCTATGATGGTCTGGGTGAGCTGCCCATAGGTTTCCAGTGTTCCCATGTTGTCATTCGCATCCACCCCGTCCTCCTCATCTCACCTGCACAGCTCACCTGAACCTGATCCCTGGCAATCAGTGAGACAGTATTTAAGATGGTAAATCTCTTCTCTGTCAGTTTATCAGCTAAGTCAAGTTGGTAACAGGCCTTCATGAGCTGTTTGCAGTCATGCTATGTCAAAACACCTCACCAGGAATCCCTTCCTTGCATTTTTCAAGTTCACGTTTGCCTTATAAATAAAGCTTGTGTTAAATCTACCAGTTGTCTCTG